TAATGCTGAAAAACGCAGCAAAACGCTGCAAACCGGCATTTTTTTTTGGACTTTTTTAACACCCCCCCAAATTTTTTTTTAGTAAAAAAAAAAAAACAACTAAAAACTGCAAACGCATCCGAATGAAAAATTGGCCGATATTCACACCGTTAGTGGGGCAATGCCATTGGTCGTTTTTCATGGATCTTCTTGGTTCTTTTTATCGGTCATGCTGTTGGTCATCCACGAAAAAAACGGCCATTTTTTGTAAGCATTGGTGGCAGCATCCATGGCAGCAACGAACAATTTTTCATTTATCAGCCGACAATTCGGCTGATAAATGGCCCATCTATGGCCAGCCTAAGTCCTCATGCACACTGGACGTTTTTTACATCGGCTGTTTTTGGCTTTTTGTGTTTTTTCCTATAGCCAATAAACTCCCCAGCATGTTCTCCTATGTGTCCATGCACACATAGACTGTAATCAGTGCTTTTTGGCTGGAAAAAAAAAACAGAACTAGTGAGTCTCTAGAGGAGTTTTTTAGCTGTAAAAACGCTCCAACGCTGAAAAACACAGTGTTTTTTGAGCAAAAAATTGGGGGGAAACGCTAAAAACACAAATGCAGCTAAACGCTAATGCAATAATGGTAAACGCTGAAAAAACCCACATTTTTAACGTTACTTTACACAGCTAATGCTACCAACGTGATTAAAATGCCCCGTGTGCATGGATTCTTAGTCCTCATGCACACTGGACATTTTTACAGCGGCTGTTTTTAGATTATTGCATTTTTTTTTCTACAGCTAGTAAACTCCCCAGCATGTTATCCTATGTGTTCATGCACACATAGGCTTAGATTAGTGGTTTTTGGCTGGAGCATTTTTTGGCTGGAAAAAAACCCCAAAACTAGTGGGTTTCAAGAGGAGTTTTTTAGCTGTATACTGTACTGCTGATAAAAGCTGAAAAACGCTAAAAAACGCATCTATCCGACGTTTATGAGTATTTTTGAGCCTGAAGATTTTGTGAGAGTATAACTGCTAAAAAAGGCAAATGCTGAAAAACACTAAAAAATACTGAAAAAAAGCTAATGCCAAAAAGCTAAAAAAAACTCATGTTTTTATTGCAGCATTCTAAAGATAAGACTACTGGCATTTTTATAACATGCAGTGTGCATGAGGCTAGAAATGAAGGCCTGCAGTGATCAAGTAGGTGCAATAATAAAAACTTTTTTTTTTAGCGAATTGTATGTTTAAGGAAAAAAATTATATGACATAAAGTAGCAAACACACTTAGGGTTGTATTTATAAAAACATTTGCATAGCAGTTTGCCCAGTGAAAGCACGTGTGTATTCATTTTGTACAAAAAATGAATGCTATGAATGGTTATTTTGTATGCTAATTGAATTATTTTTATTGATTTCAAACCCAAAATAAAGATTTGCTATGTTATAGGGCAAGGGTCCCAAAACGTTTCAGTAGTGGGGTCACATCATAAATATTCACTGGAAGAAGAAAATCAGTTTATAAACAGACACCCACTCACATCTAGGAGGGCCCATCAGAGTCCCTCTTACATTCAGGAGTGCCCCATCAGAGTCTCACTTTACATCCATGTGCTCAGTAGGGTCCCCCCTTACATACATGTGTACCCAGCAGAGTCCCCCCTTAGATACACGTGTGCCCTGTAGTATCCCACCTTACATCCATATGTGCCCAGTAGGGTCCCCCCTTACATACATGTGTAGCCAGCAGAGTCCCCCCTTAGATCCATGTGTGTCCTGTAGTGTCCCACCTTACATCCATATGAGCCCAGTAGTGTACCCCCTTATATCCATGTGTGCCCAACAGTGTTGGGTCCCCCCTTACATACATGTGTAGCCAGCAGAGTCCCCCCTTAGATCCATGTGTGCCTAGTAGAGTCCCACCTTTCATCCATGTGTGCCCAGCAGTGTCTCCCTTTATATCCAGCAGCGTGTTTACTGCACGGCAAACAAGGTGTTTGCCTGGGGTGGCAATTTGCAGGGGGACAGCAAAATGTGGCTTGGACATGTTGGCATAGTCAGTGTCCTAGTCCCAGCAATGTACAATATTCATAGTCTCCAGTAGGTACAGAACACCTGTGTCTGGACACTTTGCATTCCTCAGCAGAGTATCGGGAGAGTTGGGGTCCCTCCCTCTCCCTGGCACTTCTCCTGACTCTGCCATGAGAGAACCCGACAGCCTTCCTCGATGTCGGTCACTGCTGCTTCTCCAGGGCCCCCTGTGCCCCCAGGGGCGGCAGCGTGGAAGGGGACCCGGACAGGCTCTGCCTGAGCGCCACCATGAGACTGCACACTGCTGGAGGGTGGCTGGCTGCTTCTTCTCATCATGGTGAGTTCTTCAATCAGGTAGGGGAGGCGTAGGCGTTGGTGGTAGGTGGCGGTGGTGGAGAGTGGGTCGCGATGGGGGGGGAGGTTATGTGGTGGGCAGAGGGTGGTAGTCGTGGGGGAGGGGGGTTTGGGGGCATCCAATTTTAGTGTTG